GAAAAAAATAAAGATAACGCAAATCAAGAATAATAAAATAAATAATACAAGGGGTGGAAGGAGAAGAAGAAAGAAATCACAAAAAACAAACCACGAACCCCGGCCGGTCTTCCAAGTGGTTGTGGTGATACGATTTCCCTCTCCAGGATCTCAAACTTCACGAGCCCGACTCATCCTCGGCTAGTGAAGATCTTCTATTCCTCCCATAGGAATCCACAAAGACATCTCTCACAAGAAGAGGCACAAGGATATGATAAACAACATTCATTTCTTAACCATCTTCTACAAAATAGCGAAAATCCTTATTAATAGCCATAACCATGAGAAAAAATCAGAAAAATTACAAACAAATGCCCCCCCTTGCGTCCAAAACACTACATAAACTTATCTAGGGTAATCTAATAGGATACATTACAAACAAGACCTAAAAATCAGGAAAATACACTGAAATGAAATATTACATATCATGGTACGCCATTACTGACCGCCGCCGTGATTGATTCTAATTTCTCTTCTAATATTTATCAAAATGTTTTTACTCCTATTATATTCATTTACGCCACATCGTATGATTCCGCATCATTAATTCAATCACCAAAGTTTTGAACCAAATAATGGAGTACCTATATGCACCATGTGATTTCATAACTCTACTTTTTTGTTAACTTACAAAGCTGGGAATGGACATTATGTATTCTCACCAGGTTAGAGAGTGTTAAAATCTCAACCGTCACACTGGCCTTTGATCCGACTGCATGGGGGATCTTTGGGGAGAGGTTTAATCTAGATCACCTTTTACAATCTCAGCCATACCTGGCCCTATCCACAACCAGGATGGGATCGGGGAGGCCACCTGATCACGATTGATTCCTTCCATATTGGACTGATTTAAGAAGCTTTTTAGGTAAGATGAGTATTTATTTCTTTAGTAGTATATTATATAGATCTTAAATGATGATATTTTTTATAGATTGATGATATATTATAAATGAAGTTTGTTAGTTTCCTCTCAATCTCTAAAATTAACAAATTTAATATACACCTTTTAGTAAATAGAAATGGAAAGATTTTGGAATACATGAGCCATACTATCCATTAAGTATTAAGAGGCAATCAATTTCAAAATTGAGGGTTCTGCACTTCTGGAATCAACACCTTGTACCTGATATATCCTATTACTATAACGGTAGAGAATGACGCCTCTTATTTTAAAGAAGGTTATCTCTGCATATTTGGCAACCGAGGATGCCAAATTACATTGTTGATTGTGTTTAATTACTAATTGGTGATATTTTTTGAATTCTGAGTCGCAGCTTTTTGGATTTATTCTTCCTTTCACTTTTACATGTCTCTTTTTTAAACATTGTATAAGTTTTGCTAGCTAATTTTATCTTTTTGTAACCCATTGAGTTTGTGATTTTGATATTTCGACCTATGTAATCACTTTATAATGGAAATCGGCTAAGGCTAAGCCCTCAAATTTCCCCACAAAAAAATGTTGTAAAGATAGTTTATAGTTTTGGGTAGTACAATAATTTAATTCTTGGGAAACGGATGCATTTGTGGAATGTTGGGGCATCTAATTGATGTGGTTGCTTCTATCTCCACCGTTACATGCTCTTTATTTCCACACTTGTTAGACTTTTTGGAATCGCTTTCGTTTGGACGCTTTTCTTTCTGGCTTTCATAAAGAGTTTTTAGTAAAAAAAATTTAATTATTTGTAGCTAAAAGCTTGTTTTTAAGAAGACAGTAAGAAACCGTTCCCAAAACAAAGCTCATCAAGGAGTCTGATTGGACAAATACTCAAGTACCATTTAAAAAGCATTTTCTTTTATCTGACTGGCCAGAATAACTTAAAAAAGCATCGTGTTAACAATATTATGGAATCACATATTATACCAGAAACTTATGTGGTAACGGTTTGCTGTTAGAAGTAGCTTCACCTTCAAAGCTTGGTTATTTTTCTTGAAAGAATTGCTTGATTATTTCTTTTTATTTCGTATTTCAATCAAATATACTACACTAAGAGTGCATTGCATGTGGTTCACCAATGGTATCACCTCGGAGATGTCCAATTTCACACTGACGACGATGCGCCCTAATATTCACGGAATTTGGACCTGCACCATGCACCGCTAAGTTTGAAAAGAAAGTGAGAAGATGTTTGGTAAAGCCAGTGAACTGAAAAGAACCCCTGCCTTTCTTGATTTTGTTCAAAAATCCCTCTTATATTAGCTGTGGTTAAGAAACCAAAAATCTTCAAATAGATCAAAGACACCCCAGAAACTCATGAGCTTCAGGAAATATGGACACTACGCCGTTGATAGTATTTCTGTGAATATTAAATGATCTTTTATCAGAATAGTCCCATGAATAGCTTCCTTAAAATCAGAAGATCTTGGTGGGGTTTTTTATGTAGAAGAAATTAGTTCATCAGGATCGCCTTCATTTTTCATGTAACATACAAGGTGCAAGAAACTTTCTTTCTAGGAACCTAACGGCACTTTGTGATTATGATATATCATTTTATAAATTATAAGTTAATTGGCCATAACTTCGATCAGAGGCGTTGGAACACTTTTACTGCATTTAATATATTCATGCGACCCAAAAATAGTTGTCGGAATTTATTGATCATTTTATTTCAAGAAGGATCTTATAAGGGTTGATTTATTATTTTGAGATAAGGTTTGTAATATAATTTTAAGAATTATTTTGTGTTGCTTTAGATTCAGTTTGACTATAAAAAATAAATCTAAATTTCACGAATATGCTTTAGACTTTATTCGAAATGGTTGCTATTACTTTGTCATTAAGAGCTTTCTTTACGAAAATTACTTTGACTATAATTATATAATTTTTCGGATTTGTTTGATTGTTGTGTGTAGTGAGGTTAGACTCTCTCATTGAATATTGGATATATCTTGGGAGTAATGAACTCTTTTTCAATGGATTTTTGCGTGAATTGTCATTGAAGCTATGCTAAGTTTATTGTAAGCATCTATTTGGACTTTTTTAAGCACTCCATTTTGACAATATTTTGGGTCCCTATCTCATTTTTTAATCGTCTATTATCTTTCTCATTTTTACTATTCTTTTTTAAGTTTTAATAACGATGTTGTTGGCGGACTTTTTGCCTATTGATTTGGATGTATACTTTACAACTCTTTTATTCATTTATTATTTAACTGATCCTCGGCTCTCATTTTTTTCTCAAAAAACATAATAAGAAAGCGTGATGAAGCTTGTCTTTCATGCTTTATTAGTGTTGTAAGCAGTAACAGGTTTGTTAATATT